CCGCGTATACCCATGAATTTAACATTCACGCAACTTCTACTGGCTGGGAAACTCCGACGCTCATTAGTCAATACGAGCAAGGTTTGAAAAAGGAGATTAGAGTGGCAATGGTTATGACGCAAGAGGATTTCACGTCAATTGAACAAATCACTAATTTAGCTATCAAGATAGACAGTAAATTACACGGCGCGACCAACCCAACCTTCCATACGCCAAGCACGAGTGCAGGAATCTCAGACCCCAATGCCATGGACTTATCAGCCGCCTACGTTAGATTGTCCGAAGAGGAACGAGCACGACGTATGCGAGCGGGTTTATGCTTCCGCTGCAATGGCCAGGGTCACATCTCCAGCGCATGTCCCGATCGTAGAGCTAGTAGGAAAGGGAAGGGTCGAGGTGGTTATCAATCAAAAATAGCTGGATTGGAAATTAAAGTCGCAGAGTTGAGTAATCAGAGGGTGAATCATACCAGTAGTTTAGAAGGAGTAGGACGAGCTGAAACTTCAAAAAATGGAGAAGCTCAGGATTGAAGGTTGTGCCCATCCTGAGCCACCTGGAGAATTTGTCATCAATTAATGTGGGATCTAGTAGAATGAACTTGTGCAATACAAACGACCCGCGCATTTTTTTTTTTTTTTTTTTTTTTTTTTTTTTTTTTTTTCGGGGGAGGATTTGTATCTATTACCAGTCTTCCTATGTGGATTGTCGGATGAGGGAAAATCTGTACAGGCAATGTATCTACAACTATAAGATGGTTCTCGAGCTTGTGACATGTAATGTGAATATGTCACTCAAGTGAAATAGAACCAGTTCATAACAGAATGATGAGACTTGGTGAAGCATATTGACTGGTTGATCTACGTATCCGGCCCGCCTCAAGGTGTTGATTGACTAGCTTTTGCCAAGCATCCATGTGTTTCTGTGGATATGGGTACTGTTTTTTATTAATGACGGTGTTAGGGTTGGTAAGAACAATTGGGTGTCTGACTTTTGATGCCGGGTCTTGCATTTTTTCAGCAAAGGAGCCGTCTGTGAACTCGCCTCGCTCTTCTGCTTCATCGAAAACTGCAGGAATGTCAATGAGGAAGAGATCCTTGGATTCAGTAAGTAGTTCCTCTTCCCACTTGACCCATTGGTAACTCCTCTCAGGCTCATTCTGCTGTGCTAGACCAGCTACCCAGTTACGCCATACAACATCCTCACTATGAATATGGCATCTCTCAGCATTGTCCTCAGTCTCAGATTTCATTTTCGTAGCTCTGTCACCAGCCTCTAATTTCATTTTCAATACGTGACGATAGTCATAGATTGCCAAAGTATAGATTTTGCTAATTACAGCATTCTTGGAGCAGGACCCAGATAATTGATTCTTTGGGAGGAAAGGTGCTCCCAAAATTATGTCATAAGCTGAACCCAAATCTCCCAACTTCATATACATTCGATCAAAGGATGTTCCCAAAGATGAGTGTCCAAGACATTCAACCACAAAATCTGTCAGTACCGGTCTAGCACCAGATGAGTTGAGTGCAAGATCTACAACCTTTGGTTTCACAAGTTTTTGGCAGCGTAGATTGAGAAGGTCGGCGGTTCGATTTGACATCAGGTTTGTTTTGGAACCAGCATATGCCAACGCACAGAGAGTTTTTCCCTTACACATCAACTCTATGATCACAGTTGGTTGGTGTTCAGGTTGTTCAGATACGTACCCTTTTGACGAGGTTCCTCCTGCATCCATTGTTTCAACTTCAGACTCCTCATCCACAGATTGGTGATCTGATCGGAACAGTTCGTTGACAGCTGCAAAAGCTGCTACACTGGCTGAGTCCAACTCTGGTAATGTGAGTGCCGTGAAGGGGTCATTGTCGGTGTTAACCAAGGATGTTGCTGCCACCGTCGTGCGCGAAGGTCTACCTGCAGGTGGATGAGTGGGTTGACCTGCATGATTCAAAGCTAATTTGGCTCAAGGAGGCTTATAGTTTGTTGGCTTTGGAGGGGCAATGTAGTTGGGTGAGAAAACAATACGGGACCTGTCCGGCGCGCGACGGTGCAGGCACCGTGTTTTGCTGCCGCATTGTCGCTTGCAGTAATGGCACAAGCCTTGCAAGTCTAAGAAGGAGTGAATTTTCCAAATAAAGTTGCTAGTAGATGGTCGAGAAGAAAAGGTTGGTCAAGCTTGTGAGGGTGGTTGGAATGGAGCATTTGATTTGCGAATCAACAAGCCTTTTTCCTTTAAGCCGACGTACATCATCACAGTTGGCTTCAAAGTTGTTATAATCGAAATCCGCCACCTTCAATAGCTTCCACATGTGTACTTCACTTTTCAGCACCGGTATCATGCCAAAGCACAAGAGCTTTGCAAACTCAAGGTCGTCCATGAAGTATTCATCGTAATTTACAAGGGATTGAATAGAACGACCTCGCGTGCTGTAAGTTCTGAAATCTTCGGTTTCCTTCATTTTGAGATGTTGAAGGCGTTCCATGAGGCGGTCTTGCCAATCAGCTGGTAGAGCAGCTCAAAAAAGGTGGTCCTTGAAGTCGTCCCAGGATCCTTGAATGAAGGAGTCGAATCCGTTGGACCAGAAGGCTTGCAGATTTGGTTTGACAAGGAATGTCCCGACCAGTGTGATTCAATTGTGATCAGTGGTAACTCCCTTGACAAAGAAAAAGATCTTCAGGGTTGCTGCCCAGTGCAAAAACAGTTCGATCTCTTGGTAAGGACCAGGCCGGTCCACCCAATGTCTTGAATTTGGTCAGATCAATGCTGGTCAAACGCTGGTTGACACGAGGTTCATATTGGAATGTCAGAAAAGAAAATGTGCACTGCGGGACTCGAACCCACGATCTGATCCCTATATCTAGGAGGGTGCTCTAACCACCACTACATGCAAAGTGCTGACCCGGCGGATGTGGGGTCGCGGTGACGCCGCACAAAACCCAAGGGGGGGTCTTGCAAAAGCAGGGTGTCAATCCGGGGTCAGCGCGACACCGCACCCGCGGCGTCACCACCTTGCATGTAGTGCACTGAGCTAAGTGCGCGTGTCCAAGTGAATGTGGTGTGGAGAAACATGCCTAACACTGAGATGGCAACCCGGAATGGCCAGTGGCACTGACAACCTTAGCCGTAGGAAGTGTACATATAGGACAGAACATATCACATATCCAACAGTTCAGACGGTTGGTGAGATTGGCTAGCTCGTTGTAGCTTGAGCAGGTCTTCTTCATCCAACTTTGCCATTTGTTTAGCGGCTTTGTTGGCTGCTTGTAGTCCATCCCTTTGGTAAAGTAGGATCTTGCGCTGAAGCTCCTCATTGGTGGGAGGGGCCAAGGCTGTTGAGTTGCTGGTCCCATGCATGTTGTCTGGGTCTGAACGTGGTTGACTTGGCAGTTCAGTAGGACCGCTAGGTAAGGTAGGGATAGACCGTGAAGTTTGGTGTACAGGTGTGATAGGGATGTTACACGGTACACAGGGCGTTGTCGGTGGAAGTTCTAATGACAATTGAGGCGTCGAAGTAGGAGAAAGGGAGCCAGAAGGTGTAGGTACGAGGGGGGTAGAAGGATTTATGGAGCGTGATGAAGGAGCAACAAAATATCCTCCTCTGTAAGTGCCGAGACCTACGTTTCTGTTCTGTGGTTGTCTGAGGATTGTCTTGGGGTTAAAGACTTGAACAAAGAGGGTGTTCCCCGCAGCTCTGGTAGTACGTCTAGATTCTTTGTTCTCCTCTTGCATTCAAGGAAGATTGATGTAGAATGGTGTGAAAGGACGAAGGGCGTAGAAGGAAGGATTGTATTGACTATAAGATAAGGTTTGTTTTATAAGGGTGATCAATTGATCAATAAGGTTTCAAAAGGCGATCAATAAAAATACTTTGAAGGTTTGAGAAAAAAAAAGTGTAAGGACTTTGTATGTCCTCACTGAAGGTTAAGGTGAAGGGACAGGATATGGAAGATTTATTATAATCTTCCACGTGTTGAGACTGTATCACCACAGATGTGGTGGAAGGAATTCTAGAACCGAAGTATAAATGTATTACAAACTGACTCCAAAAGGAGATTGTGACAAAGATCAGTCAAGAATCCTTAAGGAGTTAAGATGGGATCAAAACAAGAGGAATAGATATAGAACGTTAAGTCTTAGGTATTAAGGTATGTTAAGTAATAATAACCTTCTTGTAATGTACGTACCGAGGGACATTGCAGTGGTTATCTTGTCTACCAAGATCTTCTTCTTGTCTTCCAATGTCTTAGCTGTCTTCACCACCTTTTTCTCTTTTGCCGCAGCCTTCTTCTCCGCTTTCTCAGCGGCTTTCTTATCCTTCTTTGTAAGAACCTCAATTGGTCTGAAGCAGAAGTGGAGCTTACCACTCCTGCTGCCAGAGATGCAGGAGCCACTGGTGCAGAAGAGACCAATTGTGCCAGAGGTATGGAGTTTGTAGAGTTGACTGACTCCATTGGGTTTGTTGATGCGGTGGCATTTACCGGTTGACCTGGTTGATTACCCGCTAGGTTCAGAGAAGCTGATTGCATTAATGCAGAAGCTTTCTGGGCTGAGGAAGCCGCTGGAGCTGAAGACAACAAGGGAATATTGGATGTTGGACAATTTGACTTGTTTGTGCCTCCTGTATCTAAACAAATTAGACACTTTATATCAGTTAAACCAAATATACTTTTGTCTCTCTAGGTTCCCCCCCAAGACTAGTCTTGTATTGGTAAAGAGGACATTCTCCTCCCACCTAAACAACAAGCAAATACTCAAATCAAAACTTGATAACAAGGTTTCACTTGGAGCCAGTTGACTAAACAACAAGCTCCTAAGAGCCTCTCAAACAACCTCTATAGAAAGGTATAGGACAAATCTGGGTATAGCAAACAAGTTGCTCTTTGAGGATAGAGAATTAACTCTGTAGAAATTGGAAAATTGAAATATATGTGAGGAAAAAGGAGGAATGTCTCTTATTCTTACAATTTTCTTTTTCAGTCAAACCCTCAAGTGACAATTGGGTTTACCCAAAAGACAATCCCCCCATAGGACTAGGACCTGAATTTGATGATAATTGGGATTCAGGAATCCCCAGAGGAGCTGGTTCCAATTCCGTGGGCATCTTCTTGAATCTAGTTGATGTAAGTAAATTTGTCAAATGCCTAGGGGAAGGTGATCTTGAGTTGTTTTGATCAACAGAATTCTGACTTTGAATTTCCTCTCCGTCAATATCTGATGAGGATGTTTGATCCGGGATATCTATTGCTGAAGATGTTGTCACTAATGGAGTTCTCAATGCTGCTCTTCTACTTATCTCCACCACTTGTTGTAAAGACCTCTTTCTTGTGTTCTCTTCTCTTTCTTGAAATTGACTAGCCACCAGTTTTTTCCAATGATCTTTGTACTGAGGTAAAAATGACTTTTTGGATTTTTCCACCCTAAATCCCATTCAGAGATGACACTCAAAAAAATTTAGGAGCTAAGAATTCCTATGAGAGTTGAATGAAGAGAGAAAAAATGTTGCTATGAGAGAAGAGAGGTTGAAGGCGAGTGTGGGACTTCCAATAAAGAGGGAAATTCTTTCCTCTGAGTGTACCAAACTCCAATGGTCACATGACTCTCCAAAGGAGCTGTCATGCTCTGAGTCTGTGTGACACCTCATCTTTCTATGCAATCTACACGTTGTAGAACTGATAACCCAACAAGGGTTATACAGAGCGTGAAGGGGCTAATCTACTAATAAAAATGACTAGTAGAATATGTCTAAAGACTGCCCTCCTAAAACAAGACAATCAGAAAGGGGAACTCTGTTGAATTGAGTACTGATAAGGCACCAGAGAAAAGCATCTTTAAAGGACCAAGAGCACATGGATTTTGTCTCAAAATCACAATTTTAATGAACTGGACATTGTTGAAAATGTCATTTTCTGCTGCCCCAGGTCTTTGGAGGTCTTTGCTCCTTTGGTTCCTGGGTCGGAGTTCTTCATACAAGTTCTTCTACTTGGCTTCAGCTTGTCAAATTTATTCAAAAGATAGGTGGATTTGTTGTTGTGTCACATGTGAGTGTGTGGAATTGGTGAATATAGTGTCAGTGAGGTGATGATAATGTGATTGGTGGTGATGAAGAAGGTGAGGTGGTAACAAATGGTGATTGTCTTGGGCTGACTTACCTTCACTTGGGTTGCAAGTGAGATGGTGTGTATGTGTATGTAGATGTTGTCAATAAGCACAGCCATTGAACCAACTATTGAACACAATATAGAGCAAGCTCTATTGATTCAATGAACTAACCGCAATATTTTGACCAACAAGAAACTAAGATGACAAGCTAAGTGCATGGCTAACACTAACCAAAGAGGTTTTGATCAGAGAGTGAAAGGTAATTGGAGTGGAATGGACCTGGTAATAGCTTGTAAGAAAAGTTAAACTTGTACTTTGATTAATTGGTAGTAAAAATAATGAAGAGAAACAAATACAAGGGAAAACGAAGTGGCTTTTATACCCTTCTTGGCAGCCAATGTGTAAACAAATGTAACTAATGACTGATCTAATTAATACACACTATTCAAGAAACTGATGTGATGACATATTTAGATTATTCAAATTATCAATCCTTCAAGCCGCTCACTTCCTCTTCCAAAGTATTATCCCGTAACCAACTTAGGTGAGCGCCCCTTTGAGTTATACATGTTCCCAGACCACTGGACAACAGTTCCCACATGTTAGAATCCATTATAGGTTTTATACGTAATGATACTCAAATTGGGTCCTCAACCCATTTTGATAATCAATAACTGAATATCCGCCTTGTTCCCAGCTATTGGAGCTTCAATTCCATTATTTTTTTGTATTTTTAGATTCCATATTGATGAATGTACTAACAATGAACAGTGGTACACAAACATGAACAACCAACCTAAAAACCCATGGACAAAACCCATGACCACCCAATGGAATTTGGGTTTTGTCAAACGGGGAAGTGGAAAACCAATGGACAAAACCCCCAAAACAATCAGGTTGTCATGGGTTTTTTCCATGGGTTTTCCGGTTGGGTGTTCAAGTTTGTGTACCACTAACCTTCATTTTCATCAAATTACAAACTGTAACCAATACTAAAATTTGGGCCACAAGATTCCTAAGGACATTTTGATTTCTAAGAAACCACATAACTTTTACAATTTTTGTCTAAAAGCCTTGATTGCTAGCTCATTATGATGCCACATGTGTGATGAACATACTTTGCTAAGGTTTCAAATCCATAGCTCTCAAATGGAACAAGTCATCTAAGTTTGAATACAGCTGTTTCAACAAAGATTGTTTTTTTTGAAAATCTCATCAATAGCCGGTCTCAAAGCAAACCCGGTTGGCAAAAAACCCGGTACACCTGGTTGTCTTTTTGGCTTGGAGGTGTCAAAAATGTCAACTCAATACACAAAGTTGGAACAAGTCATCTAAGTTTGAATACAGCTGTTTCAACAAAGATTGTTTTTTTTGAAAATCTCATCAATGTGCAAAACCTGGTTTTGTCCCTCACTTGATTTTGTCTCTCCGCTAATAGGAAGAATACAGAAAAGAATAAACCTGTAATCAAGTTTTGTCTCTTGTTTTACCCTGTTTTACCTGCTGCGGAGACAACTTTCTCCAAAAAAAGTTGTCAACCTTTCTTGAAATGGCTGTAAACATACACATTCTTTGTCCTGAAATCTTTGGAAGACTATTTGCACATCCAACGTCTCAATGAAAGCTCTGGAGGAAGCGTTCAGCTTTCCAAAGGACTCAAAATCAAAGGGTTTTCAAGAAAGAGTAAATAATGGAATACAGAAAGATCAAAGCATGGTTCGAAAAGTTAACAAGAAAGTAAAAATTGCAGTTGTTAAAAGTCATCTACATGATACTTTCGATCAAACAGAGAAACAACGATTCCAAAATCCAATTAAATTGTAAAAAGTACACCAGTATTTTGTAATTTTTGATGCTTTGCTTTTGATCACATCAATTCATAATTCTGAATGATTATAAAATCCAGAAGCAGGCACTTCTTTTAATCTACACGCGTTACCATCACAACCATTGAAAGAGATATCATTTCCAGCCTGGTATTTAACAAAGCAAACGGTAAGATATGAGAGTGGGTTTAAGAAAATGTTAAAAGATAGAAAAACATGATAAAAAAGAAACCTTACCCATGAATAAGTTTGGCCATTCATTTGAAATGCGAAAAAGTAAATCAAACCAAAGATAGCTACACCGGCTCCAATACCAGCTGGTAAAACTAAGGCATATTTATCTGATGTATTCATATTTATAATTAGTATATTGACCATCAATTTTGATGATATTGTGATGAGTTCTACTTACCATACCAAGCTACGTAGCGAGGTTTGAGGTATCTTTGAAAGAAGAGAGCTAATGGTACAACGGGCCTGTAAGGTAATCAAAAAACAAATCATTCCCGACATCGAAAATAAGTCAAAGGTCATGAGAACTCTTGGGGATCATGCCAATTCGAGTTCATTATCTACTTCTCTGCTTACGTTATATATGCTAGATTATGAGATCCATATGTCAAGAAACCGCCAACGATGACAGGCTATGAAAGAAATTGATCAGAAATTGAAAACCGATATGGTAACAAAATTCAAACATTGTGAAAAAGTTGTCGATTGGATGTTGCAAAAAAGAAAAACTGACTGTATGAATCATCTTCCATCCTGGCTTAGGCCATATCTTGTTCAAAGTCCAAGGTACAAATGGTGCTATCGCTCCGATCCTAAAAAACGTTAAAAAAGGATCCGCGTAAGGCACGTTCCATCCCCTTGAAAGAGGTATTTTTATTGTAAAGAATATGTAACTTACAAGAAGCCGTACATACAGTAATGATATACTGCTCCAGGTTTAGTGAAAAGTTCATGGGGGCCGACTACACCCCAAAGGACAGATGCTGAAAGAAGGTTTGAAAATTCAAAATGGTGGCGGACGACGACGGATATGAATCAGGATGAAAGGGGGTTGAGTACCTGTAAAGAAAGTGTTGTAACCTGCAGAAGATGCAGAACAGAGTATGAGCTTAAATGTATTCAAGACTAAATGAAAAGATTATCCCGTAAGACTTACCCGGGCAAGTGAAATGTAGATGTTGTTTTGGGTCACATAGATCAGGGATTGTCGCCATTTGCCATCGGAGTACTTTGGTTTTCGACACGGAAAGACTCATGAACATTTTTTTTCTTTTTTGGACAGCTTTCTAGTTCCAGCTTACCTCCTAATGAAATGAATGCAGATAACACTGTAGCAACTGTCTGTCCTATAAACAAAGCTCTAGGTGGAACCTTCAAATCGATCTAATTGTCAGTGGTGAATTTGAATGCTTTGAATTAAATTGCACTTGCGACTGACCTTCACGTAGTGAGCAAGCTATAAGATGAGAGGATGAGAGTAAGGGATGATGTTAGTATGTGATAAATTAAAAAGAAATCAATATACCCACCTTCATGTCTGATGCGTATCCAAGGGCTTGTGCCATGGTGATATAACCATACGCTATGTGGTTCGAAGAGCAGAACATTGGTTTCCGATTCGAGAAACTCAAGGTTTGGATGGAAAACTGTCTCACTTTTGAAAAGCATGTTTGCAATCGGTCTTTTAGTTTTAGAAGATTTGAATTTGGTACAAAAAAGTAAAAGTAAGCAAATGCCCAAATTATCAAGTTTTATCTAGAAAAACAACTCGAAAACCAACCTTCCTGCCAGAGCATATCCACCTACCAGTTCCGATAAAACCTTCGATACAATACACTAGTAAGCAAAAACACCAGCAAAAACACCATGGTTGGTTTGTACATCACGACGCTGACATTAAGAGGGGCCGAGACTGAGGCTACGGCGCTCACTGCAGGGATTAAACTCGTCAGAATCGTCTGCCAGAACATCAGAACTTGGTCAAATTGAGACACTTACTGATTCCACTGGGGATGACCAGGACGATGGCGATCGCAAGGGCAAAAACCTATCAAACAGTATTTTTAGGCTGCTTAAAACCCGCAGATATAACATAATAGGTACTTACTAAGCCCCAGACAGGCATCTGTGTTTCGCTGTCAAGTTAAATAACATAAGCCTCGAAATCGTTTCAAATCTCTAGACTGCTAGAAAGTCAAAACTTACTAGTACTCAATCATGAATATTGCAAGACCTATGGAAATAACACCAATAATCATAAACCACCATTCCGGTACTGCAAAAGAAGCGAAGAGACTATCAACGACGGTCGAATTTGTACATAAAACTATGTCTTATACCTTCTGGATAAGCTTGCATGAGCTGATAATGAATATCTCCATCTGGCTCTTGTTGGGTATCATCACTTCCCAAGCCATGGTCAGAATTGTCTGATTTCCATATCTTTTTGAAAATTTCACTTCTTTTACAAGATTTTGCAAGTTGACCAAAACCTCCCGCAATGTGCCTTCGGTAGTAAAGAGCAGAATGGACCACAGTACTGGTGTAGAACGCAAAAAATGCGGTATATCTGTGAAAGGGTGGAAGGAGCAGTATAAGTTTGGAGCTCAAATCTCCCAGAGCTGAAGAGTCTTTTGTACCACACTTACTCGATGATATTAGAGGCGGCAATGAAAGGCGGGGAGTAGGCTTTGTATTTCGCCTTGAAGAAATGGTTCTGATGTGAGTACAAAAACACAGAGCTGCTGAGTGAAGAGTGGAAAACTACCTGATCAAGCACCCCATTTGCATCCAATACTCTGCTTGCGTTATATCGCTTGCTTCAAACACAAAGAAGGAAGGCAATTCGGTGAATATGATAATTAAAATGACATTGCTGTGTTATCTTGACTGACCCCATTTGGTCAAAGACTCCTATTATTTAAGCAAATAGTGTATCAGTACTTACACGTAACGTGTAAAAACAGATTATCTGGTCTGCTTACCGTTACTATTAATAGGCAAGTAGGCTGAGTACAAAGTATTTCTGAAGTACAAAACGGCTATGCCGATGAACGCCCCAATAGCCCCAGTATAGTGGTTCATCTTGAAGTTTTCGGAATTGCGATCAGTTCAGTGCTTTACAATGTCGCTTACGAGGTTACAGCAGCTCACAATGGACCATAGAGGCGTAACAATGGGGTCCAAGTCCATGAAGTTCCAGTCCAAAGTCGGGAAGGGATTGAGGCCTAGACCACTGACCGTGCCTGTGATCATGGCTAGTTTGACATTTTCGGGTGCAATCCATGTGGTCCAGCTGATAAAAAAAGATTGTCAGCAAGGAAACAGGCTTCCTTTTTCAAGGTCATTCCACCTACTTGAAAAATGAAAGACTCTGAAAAAATACATCGGGAAGGATGAAATCTAAAGCAGTTAAGCCATGTTGTCAGCGTGGAATAGACTAGTGAATAGTAATATAGAACCAACATATTCCGTAGGTGACCTGATTAGAATCGAATGTCATAGGCATTAGTGAATGTACTCAATAGACAAGGTATAGAGAAGCAAACTTACTGCACATATGGAAAAAAACCTCATTTGGGACAACTTCCACCCATTGATTGGGCCAACATTTTTGCTGTCTACAGAATGCAAAGCGCGTAGAACAGCGATCTCTAAAAGATTTCCCCACCAAACCTTTCACTTGAAATGTCAGGTCCCGACTTGTGGGATGTTCAGAATAGTCATGACTTACCATCGCTGCAGGATAGACTAGAAATCTACGCTCAAGTGATTTCGAAAGGAGTTTTCGTTAGTAAATGATCATATTTTGGATTTGCGTTTGTTTTGAATGACCTTTTTGTCATCCCAGCCAAAGTGTAGCCGATGAGTTGCGTACTCAGAACCAATGACACTTGAAAGCCCATGTTGTCAGCCAGAGTAGGATTGTTGTAAAATCGTTTGATCTTAAGTACAGCGATGATATCTGTTGCCTGTATCGAGTCGAATGTGAGCTCTACCGCGTTTTCCAACTTCTGATGTTGAGTAAAATGTCGCGCCGAGATGTTGACTCACGTAGGCTCCCCCGAATGATGCATTGGCCATCTAAGAAGAGACGTAAATCGTAGAAGTCAAAAATATTGAAATGTAGGCCCAATCCAAGGGAGAGCAGTCTTACAATACTGATCAACATGTGTTCCTTCATACTGAGTTTATAAAAAAGAGGTTCATGTGAAGATCAGACTCTTTTCCTCTGTTTGGCGTTCTCTACGAAACAGATGGAATGACTTCTCACTTGAAAGGGCCAGGATTGAGAGTGAAAGGATAACCCAAGATACGAAAGACCCGCTTGGGTAAAACCCTCGCCATCAAACCTGATGAGTAAGAATGGTATCAGGTTGTATATTCATTACCAAAGACCTGTTTTCGCCTAGATGCACGTCGAAGACACTCACAGCCTATTGGAAATGACACGAGTTGTGCAAAGGTCACAGACAGCCCAATAGATGGCTGACGAGGGGCAAAGAATTGATTGAGCCCAGTCCCCAAAAAGACAAGTAGTAATCCAATCGTCCACATCCTGGAAAATGATCGGCAGATCATAAACGTTGCAATAAGCAACTGACTACGCGATGCGAGGTAAATGAATACCGACCGAAAGGTCATTACTGGTGTTGTAGGATCGTCAAAAGGCTCGACACAAGCCCGAACCTGCGATTGAAAAGACATTCATCATCTTGTATCGAAATCTTGAATTGGCATCCCTAGCTGGGCCTCTCAGACTTACCTCAGGATACGGTGAATTTTCTTTGGCTAGTTTTAGCTCTGCGCGAACGGCTACCGTGATTTCCACGATTTCCCTTTCCGATACATCGGGGTTGAAGGCTGCAGAAGCTTGTTGAAGTAACTGGGCTGGAAAATTGAGATCATCTCTGATGCGAACAATGATCAGGAATGGGTAGAAGGATATGTGGCAGGAAGCCTGTTTCACTCTTCAGACTGAGTATACGAGGTGAACCTGATACTCACTCATTTTCTTTGATCACACTTTGCAGGTATCGAAGGTGACTCTCCACGTCTTCTGGTTCGAGGCTCTTCTCATCGATTGGTGGTTTGTCACTTAAATCAAGGTCGACACTTGGCTGTGTTTGGGACCCTTCCAGCGGGTCGGCTTGCCGTGTTTCAAAGCGATAGACATCTGCCATGAGTTATTGATTGTTGGAGGAAATAGATATCAGACTTTGCTACTGTCTTGGATAGGAAGTGGAAGGCGGTCGTGAAGGTGTTGCGAACAAAGGATGAAGAATACGAAGAATTAACAGAGTTACTCAAGCATCCTCAGTCGACGGAGACTTCTCACAATTGTCCAGTTAAAGTATATACATCGCGAGAGTCAAACCTGAGAGCCGTCAGGCCAGTTCCGGGTCACAGCCTCACAGGCTCCACAGAAACAATTGCCGAGCCTGCTGAACATCAATTAAGAAAAAATTAATTCACACGGTTGAAGAGATACGTACTTATTACGGATCAAATTATGTGAGTAGTGTCCTGAACTTGGAAAAGAATCATTGACAGGTGACTCGCGGTCCGAATTCGACTGAGATTTCCCCTGGGGTATGTATTCGTTTTTGAGCTGTACTGGCCAGAGTGGAGTAGTGAATTCCAAACTTTGCATGAGCGTGATGAAGTTAGACTACATATAAGTGATCATGGGCTCAGAAATGTTTCTCGAGTGTAACTCATCTCACATTCGTACAACACGTTTCGAAATCAACCCCGCAGAACGAATTCGTCTCAAAAGGCTCACACTTCGCGTTTTTTTGCATTGCTTTGAGTGCTTTTGGAGCCGTTAGACCTATCAAAATTTGCATACGCATCAAGGCAGAGGACTCCTGATGCGAGTGGCAAGTATTCATCGAGAGAATACGAGATGTAACGGGACGGCTTGCACTCGTTTTGGCATCCAAACTAGAAATTACGCCTGTTAAACTCAAAAATACAATCGTACCTTTGGGCTGTGCTTCAATGCCGATCACGAACAAAATTTCACATTTATTGAACTTTGATGACACCATTTGTTTATCTCTGGACCCTGTCTATACATATGCTGCAAACGCAGCGGATACGTAGCAACCCTGCCATACACGTAAGGTGTATCTTACATTTGGAAAGCCCTGTGAAACTTTCTAGCCGCTAGAGTTGATTCTAGCGGCTAGTATAGCGAGCAGTAGAAAAACAAGAAACACATGCCAAAACATAAGAGCAACACGCAAACCCCCCCGCTGTAAACTGGGGCGCCGCGGCGGTAGCGCTGCGGTCGCACCGCAGACTCAGTCCAATGTAACATCACTGGGGTGGGCCCGCTGCGCCGCGCGGTCTTCACTGCGGTCCGACCCCGCCGCCACCCAAAAGAGGTAACCCCAGCGGGAACGCAGGGTCGCAGCTACTGTACAGTAGCCTATAGGTCATCACTTCATCCGTTTCAGGCCAATCTCACTCGATTCTCAGCCTCCATCACCCGTTTCAACCCCAATCCATCTTCATTGGGCAAATGGGGCAACACAGGATGGATGTCAATGTAAGTACATGTTTATCTCACTTTTTATTCACTGAATTGGTTCAACTGACACTTCAATTTTGTTGGATTTCCTAACTCAGTGTGACTCCACTCAGTTTACTACCTTTTATTACGCCCTTCAACTCATATATTTCATTTGAGTTATTGTTTACCTTGATAGTCTGTCAGCCTTCCTTACCAATGTTATCATGAGTTCAAGTCTTCTTCCACCATCTACCCCAGGTTGTGAACTGCAAATACAAACTCCACAACAACCTTCACCCGGTTTTGTGCTATTTGTGAGCCTACTAGCGTCTGTTAGGCTAGTAGAGTCAATAAAAATGTTGTAGAAAGTCTAATAACTTCTACTAAAGTCGTGTAGATCAAGATCTACAAGTGTGAATGGGTAGAGACGTGGGCGTAAGAGCTTTACTTGCAATAAACAAGTAAAGACTGCAGTTAGTTGACCTTTAAACAAAGGCTTTAGCCCAGGGATTTTGGGTTAATTATTGTCTTTACAATAATTAAAAAGAAGAGCAACTGACGCGCAGTTCTCAATCCTAATTTGATCCTCTTCTATTCTAAGAAAGGTCAAAGAAGGTGGTGTTAAGGTCTATTATAACACCGGGAACTTTACACTCTGACTAATAGAGATTTCCCCGTAGATTTAGAGTTTCTTATATCAGATGAATCCCAAATCTGATATGAGCAATACTCAAGGACTACTTCCTTACAAGTAATTCCACCAAATGGATATTACCAGAAATACTGATTATGGAGTCTAATCAGAAACAAAGTTGAATGAGCACACAGAATAAGCAACAAGACACAAGGTTTGAGTTTCAAGGTTCGTAGAATCAGGCCTTTAAAGTTTGGTTATTGAAAAGCAAAGTTTAAAGGTTCTAGGAAGATGAATAAAAGCAAAGTTGTGTAGTTGTTGAATAATAATGTGACAATGTTCTTCTTCTCAATTTGGTTGGATTTCCAGGGTTTATATAGTCTGAACCTTGGAAATCTTTGGACTACAAGTGCGCACAAATTGTGGTTCTATGGTTAGGTTAATTACAGTAAGACAGTTACTATTGTATTATAAGTATATTTCACTTGTTACATATGTGTTACGGCTGTGAAATATATGTAGCTTTGGTTTGCATCAAAGTTATGTATGTTCACACCCTTTGATTTAAGTTCTGCACATGTTACATATGCTAAATCATATGTAACTTGACTCTTGAAACTGAGCCTTGAGTTGTAATTGCTATTTTTTAAGGTTTTTATTATAATACGTCGCCCATTGGTACTCTGGTTTAGTACTCAGGGCTGACACTATTACTGGTTCAGATTCACGACGCCGTATCACCAGAGAGCACGGCTCCCCTTCAACTCGTCCTACTGGTACAACTTCGAATACAAATGAGTCACCCATTTCGAATTTGACTTCCAGTCAAGTTCAACCATTATTGAAGAAGCGAATTTGGGAAGAAGGTACTAGTGACGCCGACAGTAATAGTATTAGTACGACAGTCAGTAAGAAAAAGAAAACACATCCAAAAAATGTAAGTTTACCTTTCTAGATGTCTTGTTCTTCTTTAATAGTTATCACTTCTCATTATCGATTTATCATATTGCTCTTTGAATGGCATATTTCAGGTGACTCAAAGTCAAGATGTACCTACAGTGGTGGATGTAGACCAAGATTCGTCGGGAGAAGATGAAAAAGAGTCTCGCCCAGGTAAGAAGGCTGATGTTATGGAACTTCTTGAATACTTTGGAGTTCCAAAGCACAAAGGGAACAAGGTAGGTGTTCCAATGTTTTTCACGACTTTGTTATCAAATTTTTATTGTAATCATTCTTTGTTTAACTTTTTGATTTCTTCTTTTGGTTATACCTCCATTTTCTTAATTTTATAATACCAGACGGGGCCGTTCAAACAATACTACCCGTGTAACTGGTGCAATGAATGGTATACTCGTGGTGTGAAATCAAATGACAACCTATAACGGCATCACGACGGTGATAAAGCTTGACAACCGTGCCCGGGCCGTAAGAAATCCATCAAGTTGGGCTTGAAACTTCCTCCAACTTATCAACAACTTCAAAAAGCAATCAAAATGAAATCAGCCAGCGGGAAAGTGATGCAAGATTTCCTGGACCGACCTTCTTTCACCGTCGAAATTCTCAACATCATCTTGGTAATTTGGGTAATTTGCCATGCTCTTGCATGGCAAAGGTTTTCCGATGTGATGCTTCAAAGCGCCTTCAAGCTGGCCAATACTTCAGCCGATATGAGATCACCAACCTGGGCAGCGCAGACTGCAAAGAAGTTTTACCAATCACTTTGCTCTGAGGTTTTATGTCAAGTAAAGGTAAGGGTTTCATTCATTTGCATTCCATCCTTACTTCATCATAGTATTCAATCACTTACTAGTTATTGAATACTATTACCAGGCAAACACCAGTTGCATATGGCTGGTCCACGATGTATGGAATACACATGGCAACCAATATGCTTTCATTGCATTGATCGCATGCTACATCAACTTGAACTTCAAGTACTGTAAAGTCTTATTGACCCTCAAGATGGTTGCTTGGAACCATTATGGTATCCTTTTGGCCCGACCAGTGGCCCAATACCTCATTCAACACAATCTTCACGCCAAGATAAGTATTTGATCTGTTCTTATTCTTATTATTAACTAACAATCTAGCTGACGCACATTATATATCTATGTTCTAGGTCAGACCACCGACTTGGGGTCAAACAACTTCACTATGGCCCTCGAGATGGAGGTGATGTTTTCAGCAGCTGAAAAGTCGGTGAATTGGAGCAGTGGCAATATGCACGCCAGGTGCTATTGCCATAAGCTGGCATTGGTCGTTCGAGCTGGCCTGAAGGCCCTTTCCATCCAATCTGGCCATTCGAAGCCAACCACCAATGCAAATGTTGCTATTCCCATTCCTACCTTCCAGATAAATGACAGAGAAGAAGAGGTAGATATTGAATCCGACAACTATGAGGATGAAGAACCTTTGGGCGCGAGCGACGAAGGTCCTCAAGAAACAGAAGAAACCCTTTGCTCATCAGCTACAGATGTAGCTGCTAAGCATTTGGGAAATATCTTTGCATCAGCCATTGAAAAGGTAAGTAGATGATTTAGTTTCCTCAGTCCTTTACATTTCACTTTCAAATATTGACCAATTTGCTGCATTAGGTTGACTTTGTCAGTAGGAAGATCACTGGATCTCACTCGCGTCGTCAGGAATTCAGAGCACTTTGTAAACAAGCGGGATTGGACCACCAGACCCCAATTGCAGGTTATGGCATTTGCTGGAACGTCATATATGATTCACGCACTCGCATGTGCACTGCACAAGATGTGAGTTTAATATTTACATAGTATTGATATTGGCTCACGCTTTTGTTTCACGTCCTCATGTAGTTAACAAGATGCTATCAGCTGATCAAAAGAAGACTCGATTTTTCAAGGGGAAAATTATTCATGCGGATGAATGGTAAGCAATCGAGGCCCTCAACAACATATTGGAGGTTTGTCCTCTGCTTTATTTGAATCAAACTCGCTTTCAAAACTGACTGTATGTCATGATAGATATTCTCCATCGGCACCAAACGTATGGAGGGGGATTTTACATCTGGTGCCATGGTTCTGGTCGCATACAATTAAATCATAACAGCCCTTACCGAAGCTTGTGCCAAATCAAAGATGATACCCCTCAAGGACATGATCAGAGTGATGTTAGATCAGTTACAACTTTACTTGGACAAGGCTCTGGAATGCCAGACGTTGATTCTTGCAACCGTGTTGCACCCTTGATACCGACTTGTCTTTTTCCTCAAGTTTTATCCAGATCAACATGATAAGGCAAAGGCATTACTTACCAAAAAGTTGGATTCTGCATTGGAAAATGCCAAGCAACCACCACAATTAGCTTTGCCAACCAATACTCCAAAGGTAACTGCTGAGGACGACGATGACTTTAATGAATTTACCAATAGTAGTCCTGTACAAACGGCTCAAGAAGGAGAACTCGACTCTTACTTAGCAGGTCAGCGTGAATCTGACAAAACCAAGACTGCGCTAGATTGGTGGGAAGTAAGTTTTTCTTTATCTTTCATTCATCTTTTGCAAGATCGAATCTATTAACACTAACTCATCCTTCTTATGAATTATAACAGGCCAACAAAGCCGTATTCCCAGTCCTTGCCAAGTTGGCAAGGGACTACCTCGCTGTTTCTGGTACGACTTGCGCTGCGGAACAAGTTTTCTTGGGTGCAGCAGATGTGTGCTCACAGGATTGTGCAGGCCTTGTTCCTGCCACCATCACCCAGTCTGTCTGTTCACGCGAGTGGACCAAGGATGGTATAGACCCCGGTGGTGATTACAGTGATGCAATCAAGTATGTCAATACATACACATCTGAGCAGGCTAAAAACAAAAAAAACAGGTGATTGAAATTGTGGATTGAAAATTAAATGCTTATCATTTACATATGTTTTCTATGCTGATAGCTCTATTCTATGAAATAAATGAATAATATTACTTTGTGCCTTTCAAAAATTTGTTTTCAAGGCTGATTTTGCCTACCAAAAAGGCCGCCGTCAGGTGGACAGCGGCGCGCTGAGCCCCGTTTTATTGCTCCGCTATCTCACATTGGATTTGACTTGCTGGGATAGCGCTGCGATGAGGCTGTGTTCCCACTGGGGTAGATCCCAGTGCTGTCCCCGCTGCCTCAAACCGTGGTGCGCCAAGGCGGGGTTTGCGTGTTGATAAGAGCATCCACAGTGACAGCGGACTTTCTATAAATTTGAAAAGTCTGACTAATGGAGTTGAATATCACAAGGAAAGAATTGGAGTAGGATCTTTGTCAAAATTAGGAGGTTGTGAGGCTGTGAAATGACATGTAAAATTTTTAAAGAGGTAAATATATATACCTGTGCACTTTGTTTTGGTGTGGGGTTCTCTTTTTCCTCTTTATATCTGCAGGAATAATACTATTTAAGAGTTGAGGCTAGTAATAGAATTGGGCACTTACAGTCGTTTGCAAAAAGCTTGCTGCAGATTCACCGCCAAATTGCTCGAGTTTTGCGGGCAAATTCGGGCAAGCTTTTTGAAAACGACTGTACTTCTCTTTGTTGGTGCTTGAGTGTTGAGTATTATACATTAATACCTTGACATGTGTACTTGAGTAAATTAAATGGTTATATTTCCTTTAAAAGTTGTGTATCAGTACTCCTCTAATAAGGTTCTTTTATTGTAGGTTTTAGAAGAGCAGTCTATAGAAATTAAGGGGTGTCAAGTTCAATTTTTTTTATGGTAAAAACCGTAAAAAACTTTGCCGTCATATCATAAATTTACGCAAAATTTACAAGAACGGGAAAGTTTTATGTATCCCGTTCTCACATAAACGTAAACAGATAAGTTTACAACATAGCTTTGAAGACTTAAATTTGACCGTTTCACTCTTGGAAAAAGGTGTGCTAGATAGTGGATGCAAGGACAACCTTGCATCCTCTTACCAGCAGTTTTCTCATTACCGTGTGGAAGATCTAGGCAAAAAAGTAAAAAAGCCTTGATTGTGGTTTACAAGCGATGATAAACACTCGGGAAAGTTTTTCTACAGTTAAAACATAAAAACTTTCCCGTCTCATAGTTTTTTTGTTGTAACAATTCAAACTTGACACCCCTTATTACTACATGTTATTTTAGTGGTATATCCTCTTCAAGCTTTAATTTGGTTGTTATGTTATAACTCAAAAAAACTTACCCATGGTCATATAACTACTGGTACACCACAATTGAGATTTTTCAATCTTTGCCTTGATCATCCACCTGGTGATGTGGAAACTTCTGGTAAAAGTATGCAAGGTTGTCCTTGCATCCACTATCAAAGCCACTGTATCCAAAAGCAAAATGGTCAAGGTGAGCTCTTTGATCACATGTTGTAAACATAAATTGTTTACGCTTCATAAAGAGGGGATACATAAAACTTGTCACATTTTTGTGAGATCTAAAATATAAAAACGCACAAGCAACTTGCATGAGTTCAGTCCAACCGTTGTGGTGATCTCCTTATGGGATCAATCAAGAAAATGAATCATTATTACTTTATCAAATTATTAGAAAACTTCAGTGTAGTAGAAAATCCAAAATGGAAGTTTTCAGATCAATTGAAGCTCTTACACAGTGCCCGTTGAATGCGTCCTTGACGTCAAGGTCACAGCTTGTATGTAGTTTTGTTCACATTTCGTTCACACGAAAGCATTATCTGTAACACAGATTCCTGAGACACACGAACAAAGGGGAGATTTTGCTCAGAGGTGAATGATATTCCCTTTGTCCTTAGTCAAAGCCATTCAGCTCCTTCTCCCTGAGCGCTCACCTACCGTCAGGGACTCGAAGCCAAACTCCTCACTGCCAACTCAATTTCAAGTTCGATTCTAACTCAAGTTTGAGTTCAAAGTTGTGGAGAGGTTGGTTCATAAATGCAGAAGCCTTACAATAAATCATGACTGACGGTCAGGACAAGGCAGAAGAGCAGAGCAACATGTCAATATGCAGTGGTATAAGCGAAGGGGCTGCCGACCACTTTGCGTCTTTCAAATATCAAATTGACCTTTGGAACCAAGGTCATGATGTGATTTGAACCTGAAAACCCCGGGTCTTCTTGCCGCGAAAAAACAAACTTCTTCATATCTGAAGGCCCTCGTCGAGTCGTGCCTTGGAAACCAGATAACTCAGTTACGGCCAGGCACGAGTAGTGTCCGCATCAAGGTAAACCTATCAGTTCAAGCGGCGATGGTTGGGTTCTGGATCCAATCTCTGGAGCATCTGCGTAGATTGCGATTAAGCGTACGGCATCTGAGATGGCTTATCTTCATCCCAAGTCAACA